TCCAGGTCTCTGTAGGTATGAATGGCCGCCTGCCTCTGTTTTGGATACGTATACTGTAACCTACTTATTTTGCTTCATGTTCTGCCCACCCCTGATAGCTGCACCTTCCTCCCCACAACCACAGCGGGGCATCCGCTGCCACTGCTCGGAAGTAGCCCCCATTCAGTTCAGTGGGAACTTAATTCGGTGTAAAGCCGTCGTGAATTGCAGCCTCTTGCCCTTTGGCACAGCGAGTCAGTAGACGTCCGCTCCCGCAAGTAAACTAGCACAGAGAGGCCGAGAACATTCCTCTTTGTCTTCGTTCATCTGCTTCGCTCATCTGCATCTGCTTTCTTCCCGTTTTTTCCCCTTTTATCCAGTATTTGACTTTTTTTAAAAAAAATGTATCTTCAGCATGGGCAGGAACCGGGGATTTGTTATTGTTCACAAAAGCTGCAGTGAAAAATGGATGACAAACAACAAAGGCAAACAGTGGCTTTGATATACAGTATCTGAAAAGCTGAGAGATTTATTTATATACAGGTATTCATAGGGTGCTGATGTGGCAAGATAGGCACCAGTCACGTTTTTCTGAAGGGTCATTTTAAAGGTGAGATACTACAGCCAAGGTGGGGACAATATGAGTACTCCACCCCCTGATCTGAGAAACATTTTTCTGTTTAGATGTGAGAATTAAGAGTGAAATGGTGTTTAGTTGAAGGTTTTAAAAAGGTAACGACACTTGATTCATTTACAACTCAATATAGTTTGGTGGATTTTGAAAACCTGGAACCTGAGATTCTGTGGTAAGCTTTTAATTTGGGAATTAATGTTTTAAAAGCCAAGTTTAAAATTATGTAAACCTGTGTCAAAGTAGTTAGAGCCAAAATAATTTGAGGCTTATATGCAGCATATTGCTTTTCTACCTTCAGTAACTAACAGTGGCAGCAGAAAAAATATATACTTTACCCTGCATTATAAAATGAAAGTTTTTTCCTAGCTGTGCAAAACAAAACAAAACTTAAATTACAAGATAGTCCCTGAGGCTGAGGCCAATAGCATTGAGATGTATTATCAGGTAATTTTGCAGCGATGTCTTTAATCAAGTTTCCATTACCCATCAACAATAACTGACATACATTCCATAAAAATATTTTTGAAGTTATTTAATGAAATTAGAGGATTTCAATTTCTGATATTTAACATGTATTATTTTTTTACAAATAATTTATAACTCATTTACATAATGTACATGCTTATTTAGTACAGATAAATCCAATACAGAAATCAAAAGTCATATAACCTTCTGTTTTGTAAACATCTAGCTGCAGCACCATGCTTGAAGAATCAATTAAAGGAACACTTAAGACACACAAATCTTGGGATCTCTTCCTTGTTTTAAAGGCGTTGTCTTGCACAACTACTCACGAGAATGCCAGTGCTGTTTGGTATGAACCCCATCAGGACTGTTTGAAGTACATTTTAACCGCTCCCTGCAGCATATTTGTCCCTCTTTCTACATTCTAAATAGACATTTCATCTCCTTGAAATAAGTTTTATGTCCTCCTTGTCAGTTGCTTACATTTAGATGTAGAGCAACTGAAGCAGAAAGACAAGGGTCAGGATCAAATGGGGTTCATATGCTTCCACCAGTGGAATCTGTGTATATATTTGGAGATCTACCTTTGCCACTGTAATGACAGGCACCACAAAAGCCTGCTCCAAAGGACTGGAAGACCATCTTATTTTTTAGCTTTGCCAAGGGCTTAGTAGAGGTAGGGAGAGAAAATGCAGGCTCAGCACAACACTCATGGCCACAAGTGGCTGAACTGCAGTTAAGACTTTGTTCACAACCTGAGTTCAATCCTGATGGGCTCAGGCAGCCAGAGCTTGTTCACAACCATCTACAGTGGGGTCTCGACTTACGAACTTAATCCGTATTGGAAGGCGGTTTGTAGGTCAAAAAGTTTGTAGGTCAAATCTGCATTTCCCATAGGAATGCACTGAAAACCATTTAATCCGTATCTGCTCTTTTCCGTCCATAGTAACTAATGGGAAGCTGCTATTCCGCCTTCTACCACTAGAGGGGGATATTTTTTTCCTTTTTTCCCTTAGGTCAAGAAAAGTGCAGGAAAGGAGGGGGGAGGCAGGGAACAGTTTGCAAAGCACTTTTGAAATCTTTTTTTTCAGTGAAGCCAATTTTAAAGGATGTTTTAAAGCATGTTGTGCTGATTTTTTCAGCACAAAGACACACAGGCAGGAGTCTGGAACTCACACCTCAGCCTTTCTAGGTGCTGAGCAAGCCTCCAGAAGCCTCTTCAGAGCCTGCTGATCAGCTGTTAAGCAGGGAAAGGAGGGGGCAGGAGCAGAGAAAAGCACAAATGGCTGGCAGGCTCCCTTCTGTGTGTTGGCTTTTATCTGTTTGCTGCTCTTTTTCCTGCAGTTCGGGGGCTACCAAGGCCTGGTAAGTGACTTTCTTTTATTTATTTTTAAGTTTCTGACCCTTTTTTCCCCTCCGGAAGCCGTAGGGTCATTCGTAAGTCGAGACTCCACTGTACCAACCTTCCGAGGTTGGTAAATTGAGTACCCAGGGGAGGGACACAATGTGTAGCCTGCATAATTAAATTGTAAACACTATGGGACAATACAGTGGTGCCTCGCTTAGCAATGTTAATTGGTTCCAAAAAAACACATCGCTATGGGAAAACATCGCTAAGCGAGACACCATTTCCCACAGGAATGCATTGAAAACCGGATAATCCATTCCAATGGGAACGGATTACCGTCCTTAAGTAAAAATCGCCATAGGAAACATCGCTAAGCGAAACGCGGTTTCCCCATTGAAATGCATTGAACTGTCAAACCTACAGTTCAATGCATTTCAAGGGGGGAGAAAAAATTCACCAAAAATTAACGAAGACTCAGAACAAAGCCAAATTAAGTTTGCAAAGGTTTTACAAGGTGCACTAACAATTCCAAGCATTTCAAACAGTTTTTGAACATTTTAAGACACTTTAAAAATAGCGAAAACAGACATAACTAAGCGAAAGAGGGGGACCCAAACTGTCATCGTTATGCGAGGCATGGCCCCGAACACTGCTATGTGAAATTTCCCCATTGGAAACATCGCTAAACAGAGCGCAAGATCGCTCCTAAAACCTCATCGCTAAGCGAATACATTGTTAAACGAGGCAATCGCTTAGTGAGGCACCACTGTATATATAAGCAGCACACATTTTGTACTGAATTTAAGCTGCTGTTATTCCTGCTGAGAAGCCTGACTGCCATGCTGTGTAAAACTTCCCACTGTGACCCTATTGTGTGTACTGTCCTTGAATAATGTGGAGATGTAGTTAACAGAGCATTGCCAATGCTCATTTGGGATTAAGCTATCACAAGCTGCTAGCCATGATATATTTCCTATGTTGTAAGAGTCAGTATGCTTTTGTAGGCCAGTTGCTCAGGAAGGAAGATGCTGGGGAGGTTGCTGTTGCAATGCCCTGCTTGTAGCCACTGTGTGAACAGAATGCCACACCCCACAGGTCCTTGGTCTGATCCAGCATGGCTTTTGTGTCAATGTGATCAGGCAATCTTTTGTGCTAAATATTTGAAGAGCAGGCTATAGCAGCAAGTAGACAAATTTCCACTTTGGGATTGCAACAAGTTTGTGTTTTATTTCTTTCCCCTCCTCTTTTATAAGAAGTTTTTAACTTCTGGACCTGTTTTTTTAAGTACTTTGTTTATAGTGGATTTTGCTTTAATTTGATTAAAGCAAAATCCACTTATGGGTTAAAATACAAAATAGAAAACCTTATTTGATAAACAGTTGAGAGGCAGGGAGGAATGCAGGCCTGACTGCTGCAGTCAAACTCAATAGCCTTTTTACTCCTGTACAAAGAGTGTCACAAGTTCTTTCCTCCCTGACTTCACAGACAATGCATCCTGTAAATGGATGCCTGCAGTGCTCATGGAAAAATTCTTGAACTCTGTCTATCCACAGAAAATTTTATTTTGTCTATAGTATCGGATGTCATTTGGTGGTATTCCACAGCATTTGAATGACTAATGCTCATGTTCAGTTTCTTCTGTAAATTTGCACGTGTTTTTCTGTTTCCTGTTTATTTTTCTCTTTCCTCTAATTCCATATTAAAGGAATCATGGGCACATATCAGTATAGCATTATCCCAATAATTTTGTAACAAAAAGAAAAAAACAATTTGTTCTGCTACATTGCATCTACTATGTAATTGCCACAGGCACATAAACAACTGCTCTAAGTTATTTATAGCAGTTCTACAGAATAACCATGTTTTAAAAATGTTTGGACATCTCATGCAACTGAACTATGATCCCAACTAGAGCCCCTGAGGAGCAGCTCCAACAAAATTTTATTCTGTATTATTGTCAGTTCAGTTATTGTGCAAATGAAACAAAATCTATCCTCATTTCTGTATTTCAAAGAAGGCCTCAGAATTTCATACCTTGCTGTTTCCACCTTCATCTGCTCCCAACTTTTCTGTTATAGAACCATACAGCTTCTGTGTGTCAGGCTACCTTTTATCTCCTGTGGAAGACCTAACTTATTGCTCTGCCAATGTTCTCCGGCTGTTTCCTTTTCACTTGGAACCCTTCACATTGGTTTCCCAATTACAGGTATATTCCCCAATGAAATCCAACAAAACATGTGATTTGCTGTCACTGGCAGCCTGTTCACTGAACAATCCCTGCAAATGTGTTGATGGGTAGCAATAAAGCCTTTGGTAAGTATTTGGCCAGTCCTACATCTTCTTCTTCCTGTGGGTTGGCCTGCTTGTTTTTTGTCTTTTGCAAACAATAGCTAGGTTCCAGGCATGGACAAACTTCAATACTGCAAGATAAGAACATTCATTAACCAAATGAACAATTCAAAGTTGTTTAGAATCTGATGAGATGGTTGCCTTTTTCCCTCAAAGGTGTGTTGTTTTTACATTTGAAAACAACTACATTTCCAAATATTTGAAATCTGGCCAATGTGATTCAGACTTCAGACAGTCAACACATTTTATATATATTCTGAATACACACAAATGGTTTACATCAGACAAAATCAGCAATGATCGAAGCTGCAACTGCACGTTCAAATACAGCAGGACTTGTTGTGGGTGTAAAACAGAGGAACTAATTTTGTTTTTACTTATCACACAATACAAAGACCAATTAAAATCAGTCCAGCACTTTTTGCTCCTAATGTGAAGTGTTTTTCTCTGTCACTAGGGTATCCACTTTTTTCCCCCCAAACCAGAATGATTTGAATGGACTTTTCCCCATGTGATCAGCTGTTTCATTCTCAAAAGGATGGATGTGTGTGATTGGGCTTGGTATTAAGGTGACATAATAAACTGGGCATAATGTTTCAGACAGCAGGAACACTGACCCGCCACCTCTAGTTGCCCTGAATTATTTGTTTTTTTAAAAAACTACTGAATTGAGCACTAGATCACCTTATTGCTACATTGATATATTAGTTTAGTGCTAGATTACCTCTATATGGACAAAATAAAATATTAATCGATATGAAATAGAAACTGCTCTGATGAACTACAGCAGACTGTTATGTCTCTGCAGTATGTGTTTGTACATTATGAAGAACTTCTGAAAACACTTTAAGTAGCCCACCGACTTTACAATGAACCATAGCAAGACAGTTGGGGATGGACAGAGGGCGGGATGAAAGGAAGGGGGGGCTGTGGTGCAGATGAAACAGCCTCCAATTGAGGGGGCAGTGTGGATGCTGGCACTCAAATCTGAAGTCTCTGTGTGGACACCTAATCTGAACAGAAGCATAAAATAGCCTGTGAATCAAGCTTGCCAGTGTAGTAATAGTCTGGGTATAGTATCGGAGGCAAAAGGTAGAAAGTAGCCTCAGTCACTGCAAATTAACTTCATCTAATCCTTCAGAAATGCGAAGGGCGCCACTCTGTGGCAGTGAGATTCTGGGCGTTTTAGTCCCAAATGAAAACTTTTCCCATCTCTGAGTAGTTATGTATAGCAGATTTAGGATGTGACAAGAATTCATGCTGTATTAAAGTTTACACTGGGGATTTTTCAGTGCTGGATCCAATAATCCAGAAAGAAAGTCATCTGCTCTGGCCTGCTAAAGGTCAACAACCTATTTATTTATTTGATTTATACCCTGCCTATCTGGACCACCAGACCACTCTAGGCGGCTACTTCTCAGTAATCACTGAGAGATTATAGTAATTTTGATTTGTAATTCAGTTGATAGCATGGATGAATAACAATATAAAATGGCCATCAAATTGATCTGAGTTGTGACAGTTCTTGGGTTGGCGGCACCCTAATCACACTCAGGAACTGGAGTAGGGATGTGAATCTTGATGCTTCTCTCTTTGTCCAAGAAGTGGTGTGTGTGTGTGATTTTCTTCTTTCTCATATTTCTCCACGGCAAAATTACCCAAGAGAAAAATCCTCTGGGAAATTTTGCTGGCCTCCAGAAATCTCAGGGAATATTTCTGAAAGTGCACAAAAATAAAGACGCCTCTCCTGTAGAGGGACTGGAAATTTCTATGCAGGAATTGCCAAACCCTATGCAAAAATATTTTAATCCTTTAAAGATACCACCAGTTTCTGCACAGGATGTTTACTGTGGCAAACAAAGAAGGGAAAATAACAAAAACCTTATTGCAGAGATGTTGGGAAATCTTGCCTGTCCAGGGAAAATTACCTTGCTATTTCTCAACCTGACAAAACTTGAAAAATTGCAAAGAGCAAGAGATATAACAAGAGTCTGTCACATCTTTGCTTTGAGGAGAGTGATGCAGAATCTTATTAGAACACTTAACAATATATAGTTAATTAATAAGCCTTACCTGACAACATTTTTGTACACTCGTCTAGAGTCTTTGTCCAGGCGCACAGTGAAGGACCTGTGCTCAGTATTTCTGATTTTGATATTTCTTGTTCGAATAGTGTTTGTGGTTAACTGAAATAAAAGTGAAGCAAAATGTTCTGCTTAGGAAGAGTCAATGTTTTTTTCTTTGCTATGAATGAACCCAAAGGGCCCATGCTGTAAGTGGTATGATTGGATTGGCAATTTTTGGTAGGTGGCTTTCTATGAACTCTGACATGAATCTGAACTTGCTACTTACAAACAAAAACAATTTTGCCCTCAGAGAATCAATCTCTTTAACTGATTCTGCACTTTTGAAACATACAAGTCCTCTGAAATCCTCCCAAAAAACTTGAATGGAATTAGTCCTTGTTAAAACTTGAGGAAGCATCAGTCTCGATACATTAGTCACCATGCACAGTAAACTCAAATATTGTACAGTACATGTTATTCTTAAGCTTTGTCACAGATCTGCTTTATCAAGGCAATTTGCTATATGTCCTCTACGCTATAGCAAATTATCTCAGTATAGTCTTTTAATATCAGGACTATTGAAATACTGGCTTCTGTTCAATATCATCAACTAAAAAGGACAAATAATCTATTGCCTACCAAAATTCAGAAACCGACAAAATGACTGCACCACGACACAGTAGTTAACGGTAACATTTCTGTGTTTGGTACTGGTGCAGTCAGCCTTTTTGATAAATGATGCAGATGAGAAAAATCATTGGCAATCAAATTCTCAGTTCAGTTAATGATGCTAATTGCAGTGGGAGTGCTGGTCCAGCAATTATTTTACTCAAAAATCCTGATCTCAGGAGAGCTTAGTTTGGTAAAAGTAGAATAATGCTGAAGACAAGAGCATATTATGTGTTTAAAGTCATGCACACACATTCTTGCAATTTTATTTTTAAGCCACAGGCCAAGTTTACATTTAATCTTTTGGGGAAGAAGGTGTGATTCAGAACCTCATATTTTATATTTTATTCCCTGCATAGGGTGTGGGGCAGGGAAGGAAAATAAATGCAATGATATAGGCAAGAGGGGTGCCGGGGTTAAGAAAAACACAATTAATAAGTACTGAATACACAATAGATACACAAAGATTAAAGTATGCATGTGGCAGACATCACATAGCAGAATCACATAAGAGAATTAAGACATATAAAACCATGCAACAGAATTGGAAAACATACACAATGGACACACTTTGAACTAACAGGCCTTCTTCAGCACTTTTAGGTCAACCTAGGGAATACTACATATCACTAGACTCCTATTTCTGAAGAATCAGAATGCCACTTACAGAATAAGATCGTCCTGAGAGGTTGGAGGTTTTTACAACTTCAGCAATATTCACATGCAAGCACACCAGATCTGCAATAGAATGATAATGAGACACAAGAGGAAACAACTGGGGCTGTTGCCCTTCTTTGTCTTCACTGGAGCATTGCTTTCCTTCCCATGACGGTACAGCCCCTGTCCTCTGTCTGCCAGTATTACTAACATAGCATTTCTAATGCAGTTCTCAGTTGCAGCAGGACCTCTAGAGCAGTGCTCCCCAACCTTGGGCCTCCAGATGTTCTTGGACTTCAACTCCCAGAAATCCTGGGCAGCAGAGGTGATGGTGAAGGCTTCTGGGAGCTGTAGTCCAAGAACATCTGGAGGCCCAAGGTTGAGGATCACTGCTCTAGAAGATGGGGCAGTTTATTGCCATTAGTTCCCCAATTCATGCAACTAGGAACAGTTCACACCAATCAAGTTTCTCCTTTGTCTTTAGTCCACGGACTTTTAAAACTGATGTATAGGATGGGTGCTGAGATGTGGGTTGTAAAATAAATACACAGCTATACTTCATTTGCTATGAAAAATGTAAATGTCTCTCCAGAAAGCATTTCTGATGCAGACATATTATCATTTTTCCTTGGCCCCAAATTGCTCCGAAAATACACATTTGGCCTCCCCAGCACAGCACTTCCTTCAGTTATGTTCCATGTTTCTGCTAAAAAGAGAGCTCAAGAGGGATAACAACGGAACGTAACTAAACACAGACAACAAACTATTAGAACCATCACTAAAAAGCAGATCAAACAATAACATAATTAGAAGTCATCATAAAGAGACATACAATCAGTTTGAAACACTGATGTAAATGAGAATCTCCATTAAATATGAGTGCATGTTTTGTCTAAAGAATGAGAGCAGAGGGCAATTCTAGAGAGTCTACAGACTATGTTGGTTCCTGTTCACCTCTGCACATACCATTAATTAGATATACATCTGCTAGCTGAAGAGCTCTTTACTGACATTCTGTGGACCTCATGTTTCTCTCATTTGATGATAAGCTTTAGCTCTTTTGAACTGGACAATGCATTATTTTCTTAAGGCCCATCCAAAGGAAGTGTTTGTTATCCTGTAGATACTTGACTGTGCACTGATGATACTGGTGTTTTTTCCCACTGTCCAGAAACTGCAAGGTTTGAATTGGTATCAGCAGTGACAGAAGGGGGTCAGGGTGAGGGAGAGACATAGCTTTTGGCTTTAAAAACAAAAATCACACATTTCCTCTAGGTATTTCTGTTTGCTTTAATTTATGTAGAATGAGGGCTTCTTGAGAAATAGCCTTTCAATTTAGCCCTAATCTAGAAAAAGAACAATCCAACACAGAACAGCATTTCTTAAAGGTTGCCTCAAGAATTTCAAAACAAATGTTTTTAAAGATGAGAGATTTATCAAGTGGATTGGCAACAAATGTCTATGGCTAAGGTTTCAATTTAGCATCTTCTGAAACACCACTGGCAAAATCAAATAAAGAAGATATTTTTAAAGCATTTCTTCAAGATTTTTGAAATATTTTGATCCTTCTTTTTTTTTGAAAGATGGCTTCATTTCTAAAAGAAAATAGAAGTGAGGGTTTAAGAATCTGTGTAGACAGACAAGAGTTTGGTGCTCCCGGGTACAAAAGAGAGATGAAGGAAATGTTCCATCTTAATAAGTCCTAAGTTGTTGATGCATCAGCACGATGGTAAAAGAACTGGATGTCTACTGAAAAATCAAAAGTTGTTCCTTCATCAAGACTGTTGCTTCCTCTTTCGTTTCATTTAGTTAGGAAAGAATGCGATGGGAACTGTCTCAAAAGTAGCTCGTGTATAGGTAGAAGGTGCAGGGGAGGAAGGTGGAGGCAAATTAACTGCAGACTTAACTAAGAAACTTTCATGTTTAAACACAGGAAAGCTGGAGTTTGAGTACATGAGTGTGTGATCTTCACACTCACCATAGTCTTTACCTTCAATCTCATTTGAAGGAATGGCTTTCATAAGCAGACCAGTGGATCGCAAAGAAACAGACTCTTCCTTTTCACGGTTACTTAGCAAAACCTAGAAATAAAGTTTTGTGGCAGCCATCAGTATTTTTAACAGTAATAAATGCACAAATCCCTAACAGAACAATGAACCAGTCAGAAAAAGGGCCCCCAACAGAAGCCCTTAGTATGTATTAGTTTTTATTATTTTGCTTTCAGTTCTCTGTAGTGTTCCAATTTCTGAGCCACAACTAACTCACTTACTGTATATCTTGATTTTTTTTTTTGTAATTTGTTTGATGGAAACAAGGCAACTGATAGATTCAGCAGAATTGTGTGTGTAAAGTGGATTGTAATAATATGACGTAGGTTCACCTATAATATAAATTTAAAGCATGCACCACAGTTATGTATCCAATTGTGGGGAGGTTATAAACAGAAGGGAGATTCTATATGTAGTTCCACTTCAAATAATCAAGACTTTTGATCGCAATAGTATAGGGATAAAAAAAAAGAAATAGCCACATGATACCCTTCCACTGGCCAGTTAATGAAAGCAAGCTCCAAATTTTGCAAGCATTCAGATCTTGGTTATTAATATCAGCGAGATATTTTTGCTACCATGGTTACTCCCAGAATTCTGTGCCTGTCTATTTCTGCCCAAATATGCTCAGCTTTCTTACCTTTTTATAGGATAGTGTAAGATCCATACCAGGAACTTCTACTGTTGGCTTCTTCTTCATTGGTAGACCATCTAGAGGAGAAAAATCCATGGATTTTTTAATGAATCTTTAAATAATTTATGAACCGCCTTGAGTTCCCTCCACTGGGAGAAAGGTGACATAAGAATGGGAAAAAAATCTGTAGCAGAGTTTGACCCTCTAACATCATAATAGAAGACCATAAAAGTGTGCTGCTTATATACCACCCAATAGTGCTTAAAGCTCTCTCTGAGTGGTTTACAATTTAATTATGCATGTTATACAGCCCCACCCCCACCAGTGAGCTGGGTACTCAATTTCCTGCCCTCAGAAGGATGGAAGGCTGAGTGAACCTTGAGCCGGGGAATGAACTCAGGTCATGAGCAGAGTCTTCACTACAATACTGCAGTTTAACCACTGGGTCATTCAAGTAACAGCAGCAGACTTTTATTTACCTGAGACACAGCTTGGGAAAGGACAAGTGACTCCCAACAGGAAAGATCACAGTATTTGTGTGATATTTCTTAATATCAAGGGAGGTTTGCAATAAATAGGGAGCCCTCAGATGAAACACAGACCTCTGGATGAGTTGGATTCTTCAAGTGTTGCACTCAGTTCAATGAGAAAAATATCCTCAACTGGTTCCAAAGTTCCATTATTGAAGGAGAGCTGAAATCGGGGGCAAAATGAGGCAGTCAGGGCACAGTACCTCCAGAATGAATGAAACAACAACGACAACGACGAGTCCCCGCTGTCCATTCTGATGACAAATGTCATAATATTTCAGGAAGAGGAAGAGGACACTTACCTTCACTGCATAGACCTGGAAGAAGACTGGTTGCAAGCCCAGACGCACGTAATATGCAATCACATCAATGATGAACAATTCAGAGACTGCCATTTTGCTTGGAGAAGAGGGCTGCATGGGATCAAAGATGGTTGCATCAGCCTAAATCAGGGATGAGCAAGCTTAGGGGGCTTGTGGGACAAACTGATGTTAGGGGTAGGAGTTGATGAAGCAGAGTGTGCTGTTATCCACAAGGATGCTAACAGCCTTAGATTAAAACTTAGTACAGTATGTTCATTTTTAAAAATCTTGGAATGATTAACAGTTACAATTCCAAGGTGCAAAATGTAGTTAATTTAAATTACAGTTTTGAAAATAATGCTCTTTTCTTCTCAGAAGCCAAAAGTAACAAATATATTTTGTTTTTGCAAAAAAATCAGAATGCTACAAGCTGCTGACCTAAAGTATAAAACATACAGTTATGATTCCAAGGAACAAACGTAGATAGTTATTTCAATTACAATTTTAAAATAATTCTTCATTGTCTCAGAAATCACAAGTAACTAATATATTTACTTTTTGCAAAAAAATCAGAACACTACAAGTCAATGTTCCCTCTAAATTTCTGCAAATGCTGGGCAGGGTGCCCTGGCCCGCACAAAAAACGTCCGAGAAACAACTGAAAGCAAATGGGCAGCAACACTGGCTTGACTGTGTGGCACCTATACAACGTTGCACATCTGCATAGCTTAGAGGGAATGCTGTTACAAGCTGCTGGCCTAAAGTACAAAACAAACCTAAGTAGTAAGGCCACCTCCTACCCTGTAGATGTATAAGTAAAACTAGTTATAGTTCCACTGTCAAGATTTAAGTTCTCTCTCACTGGTTTACAAATGTAATGTAATTATACCTCAGTCAGTGCAACAAAGAATCAATTACAAATAAATTACATGTTCTGGTTTATTAGATCTTAGTCTAGGTGGAAGCTCTGGAAGCCTTTATCCCTGGTAGCCATGTCATTTCCACTTGACTTTCAACTTATGAGCATGTCCCAACCTCAGCAATAGAAGTACTGCTACTGTACTTCCTTTCAACATCTGAAGAATGTACCACAAAGTCTGACTGCTGTCCCAAAGTAATAGAAACAGAAGAAAGGGTTCCTCTCCTACCATGGTGGCCAGCTTCGGAATCATGTGACACAGGGTGTTAATGTTGTTCTCGTACCATGGGTCAACTCTTCCAAGGTAAGCAGCTATCTCACAAGGCTCTGCTTGATCAAACACAGCATATTCCTGGGGTAGAAGAGACAATATACAGTGAGCACCACACAAATTAGGACTGTTCTGGAGATAGGAATCGCCCGGCGCCAATACCATAACCATGCGATACTCACCTCCTTAGAAGAGGCTGGTTGTTCCTCCACAACAGGAACGTAGTAAAACTCCACTTTTAGTCTCTTTGTAAGAAATGCACGTCTGCTCTCCCGCTTCCTGGAAAGGAGGGGAAAATTTGTTCTTAGGGTCTGATAAGACCAACTCAGTCTCATCTCTCTCTTATGATGGGTACTGGGAGACTTACACCTGCAAGAGTCTGACAGTCACAAACATGGTGTGTAGGAAGCCATGTTATTCTCTGATCAGTACAGAAAAGGGCTGTTACTGACTCCCACATAGCTCCTTGACTACATCCTCCTTTACTAGTCACAGTGTTAGAAAGATAGTTATATATTAAGGAATGTAATAATTGTAATGTGCCATCAAATCATAAAGTGGATAGCTTAGTGAGCTGGAGCACATGATTTTAATGAACCTTGGCTAGAAGTCTGATTATTCACTGGGCCACCTAGAAGAAGTACCAGCCTGTGTAGTCTTGAGCAAGATGCGCAGTCCCAGAATACTCTGGGAAGAAGGGAATGGTAAACCTCTTCTGAGCACACCACATCTAGAAAACCATGGAAGGGACTGCCATTAATTTGAATTGACTTGGGAGATAAATACAGTAATTGTTACTGAAAGTCAGTGCAGTGCACTGGCTAGAGTGTTGGGCTGGGGCTCAGGAGACCTGGGTTTAAATCTCCACTCAGCCATGGAAACTCATGGAGAGTGGCACTGATAAAAAACCCACCCCTTAAATATCTCAAAGACCTTGATAGCCCTACTAAGGTCATTGTAAGTAGTTATCCGAATCTCCACTCAGCCATGGAAACTCAGGGAGAGTGGCACTGATAAAAAAAAACCACCCCTTAAATATCTCAAAGACCTTGAAAGCCCTACTAAGGTCATCATAAATAGTTATCCACTAGATGGCACACGACACAATGGGGTTTTCAAGTTCTGTGGGACATATAAGACATGAGTTTAATATTGACACCAGTGTTTCTCTAAGGCTGAACAGATTCAAACCTAGCCTATGACTCTATTCACTGCATCAGTATTTTTAACAAGTGTGTGTTTCTGTGTGTGTGTGTGATGAGAAAGACAGCCATGGGGGATGGAATGTTATGGTTTCCCTTGCCTTTCTTAAGTAGAAACGTTAACTAGCAAACAATTGTAGATTGTTGTCCTCTGGTCACATCCTTCTAGATCACTTCCCTCTTTTTCAAGGAAATAGTCCAGTTCCTTTACTCTCTGTTTGCAATGAATGTCAGGCCACAAGGGAGACTCCAAATTGGCCTTCTGCACATTTGCTCCCACTTCTAGGGCCTTGTGTACTCACATCTGGGTTCCTATTCTGTTTCATCTTGGAAAAAATATATTTTGGAATGCATTTACATTACCATAAGTATCCTGAGTAATTCACAGCCACAAGCTCACTTTGCTAGGCCTACTCCACTATGCTAAATGTCACTACCACAAATTCCTACCAGAAACATAAGGGACAGTAAAATGAAGAATGGCACACAGGACACACTGAAAATAAAATAATCAGTACAATATGTGCTGATATATGTTAATTTCTTAGAGGAAGTTACTCAAAAGGTAAAGCACAAATTCAACATAAAGCTCCCCTGGACAGCTGGAAAGATAGTAAAGCGGCCTAAATGTCACTACCACAAATTCCTACCAGAAACATAAGGGACAGTAAAATGAAGAATGGCACACAGGACACACTGAAAATAAAATAATCAGTACAATATGTGCTGATATATGTTAATTTCTTAGAGGAAGTTACTCAAAAGGTAAAGCACAAATTCAACATAAAGCTCCCCTGGACAGCTGGAAATACAGTAAAGTGGCAAAAAAAATTTTAAATAAATAAAAATAAAAAGAGCCTATTCTTTTCTATTATAATTTCTTGGCAGGTGAAACCAATTTCAGCAATAACAGAAGCTGCACATAGGCAGGAAGAGCCACTCATCATCTTTGGAACTAGGAAGTGCTCAATAAAAGAGATGTGGTTAGCAGAAACGGAAGAGGCTAATTCACAAGGGGATGGCTCTGGCTTCCTATTTTACAGGGCAGGAAAAGATGTGCAGTAGGATTATGCAGAGCTGTAAGAACTGTCTTGAGTTTTCTTTAAAAGAAGGGTATTGGAGTGATGTCTGTGTTATATGTACCTCAAGGAATAATAAGCCTGGGCAAGACGCCCCAAAACTCTGTCGTCACCCAGCACCAAGACACGGGCCGTGTGCAGTCTCTTCATTGGAACTATTGGCTCCATGACGCTACCACCAGATTTCCGATGCAGTTTCCCAGCAGGCTTTGCACCTCGCCCATCGCAGCCACTCTGCAGGAAAGGAAGGCTATCCAAAGAAGTCCCCTTCTTCTTCACGCAGCCCTTCCTCTGGAGTCGGGAGTGCTCAGCCTCCACACTGCAGGAAGAAGGGCTTTCATCACCTGCCATGGGCAGGTCTTGCTCAATTCCACTGTCATTGGAGAGCACGGAGAAGCGCGTCCATTCACCGTGTTCGTAGTCAGGCACCAAGTCTTGAAATTCAAAACAGTCCAATTCTCCGCTCACAGAATCCTGTTCAGAGGACTGGCTTGGTGAACGGAGGAACAGCACCAGCTCTTTCCCTGAAAGGAGGAGATTTCCGTGAGATCTATAGAAGGCAATCACCACTTGAAATCGGTATGATACGATCGGGACAAATGCCCAGAATTTGGAAACGATGCATTACTTTTTGGGTCAGTAAAAGAGGCAATGATCTTACTGAAAAAAAAGGATAGCAACTGCAGTATTTATGTTATTAGATTTTTGGTGTAATGAATAATGTTTACTAATTATACCAGAAAAAAAGGGGGGGACTGAGACACTTTTGGCCTCTACCTTCCTTCTTGCACTTTAAAGTGATTAAGAACAATGACAAAGTACTGTGTTAATGAAGTTCTTTGTTAGTTAGGGGTAATGACACTCAGTACACACAGCAACACTTTAGCAGTATGTAGTGAATGTTTTGCTCAAATGTAACATGAACACTGCTAGATCAACATTTGCAATAATGTTTCTAGTCTCTGACTGCAGCACCGATACCATGACATCTTGTTCCTTCAGTGTCCAGGCCAGATTACTATAATTTTGCTTGCTTGTATGCAGTATCTTAACAGAAAGAAACTGCCTTCTGATATCCAAACCTTCTTGATTCCCTTTAGGGGTGGGATCAGGAGTAGGCCATACACACCGCATTCCTGGACCTTAGAGGGCCACACCTGCTCCCATGTCCTGTCCACCCCAAAAATACTTTTTTGGGGGGGAGGGACTAAGAAAGCCCCCTCATGCTGTCAAAGCAGGCAAACCTTCAAAAACCCAAGTATTACAACAGGGAACAAGGTGCTGGGAGAGCCACAGCACAGGAGTGGGGAATGTTTGGCTATTTAAAGATTTAGGACTTCAAAAGTGAACGCAAACATGGATGATGGTACAGGAGTATGAGAACTGTAGTCCAAAATATCTAGATGACCATAGGCTTCCCATCCCAGAACTGGTAGCTGCTTCCAGGTGATACAGGCAAGGTTATTTTTCAAAACACTCACAAAGCTGGTCTTCATCTCTCCACAGGTGGAAACTGATGTTAGGGTTGGGTAAAGGGATGCCTTGGCTTCTTTCTGCTTCCGCCTTTTGCACATCTGTAGGACACAGAGAAAGAAAGCTCAGCGAGTTGGGTATTTGGCTGCAGAGCCAGAGGTTGGATGTTCAGTTTCTTACTATGCATCCCAGGAGAATAACCAGTCTGAGACAGTGGCTTTCAAAATGGGAAATGAACAGCATATTTAGAAGCAACAACCATTCAAAGGACCAGGACCCAAAAAAAGAGAGCTGTTTTTATCAGAAATGCAACTTTTATCATTTGTGGTGAAAAAACAACTGTACTTTTAAACTAAAATTTAAAAGTTCCATGTGGCATTAACAATGGAGAGGAAGTACACTGCATACTTAAATGCAATGCCCTCCTTTATTCACCTGGAGGCAGAAGAGGTCTCTCTTGTCTTTTATTTGCATCCAGTTAATACTTGGCACTTTTGCCCACACAACCTCCTTGTCTCAGACCTCTGCAGAGGTCCATACTCTGTATTGTTCACAGGGTTTTTTGTTTGTTTCAACTATAATCCCACAATCCCTGAACCATAGCATGGTACAACAGATATTCACTTAAAAGATAAACACAGGAATTTGTTCCAAGTACTAGAAGTGAAAAGAGTGTACAGACAACTCCTCTTCACTCCCCGTTGCATCCCTCCCAATTTATTTAAACTGTAATATCTAGGGGCAAGTGAGAGGAACATTTTCTCATTGTTAAACAAGTGGGAATCAGAAATCTTTGCTCATTTATTGCAAAAGAAAGAAAGAAAGAAAGAAAGAAAGAAAGAAAGAAAGAAGGAAGGAAGGAAGGAAAGAAAGAAAGAAAGAAAGAAAGAAAGAAAGAAAGAAAGAAAGAAAGAAAGAAAGAAAGAAAGAAAGAAAGAAAGAAAGAAAGAAAGAATCAACCAACCAACCAACCAACCAACCACACAGCTCTCTACAAGTGAATTTGTATTGCACACACTCATCCCTCCCTGCTTTAAAGAGCCATACAACTTCCCTTATTCTCTTAACTGGCATTGAAGTTGGCACATTTTAGTGCCATGACTGTAGATATATAAGCAAGCAGAATTTTCTAAAAAGGGGGCCGACTAAAAGATTATTATTTTTTCATTGTATAATTCAGTTTCCACCTTGCAGCACTCTCACCCAAATGGGTCAATTAACAGGTACACCATTGTTTGTGTATGTGTGTTCGTATGTGTGTGTTTAACAACAGGTGTCAGCTCCAACAGACATCGTTGCAGGTACTGTGCAAAAGCAATGTTCACACAAGAGGGTATCACAGTAGCCCAAGACTTAATCCCAGGCAAAGCTTGGGGCTTCTTTCCCCAATCCACTTTCTTAGAGCTATACCTACCTTTTTCTTTTTCACTTAGGAGTCTGTTGTAGATTTTCCCCACTTCCTCAGCATATTGATTGTATTCTGCACTCATCTCTCTTCCTCTATGTTCAGCTGTAGCAGCTGCCATTACTTGCTGGAAACAGTGTTCAATCACATCCAAAGGTTTTACCTGTCACAGGGAAAACTAATGAATAATTGCTGGAATGCAGTTTGTGGACTATAGAAGCTATTCAGATTTATTTCATTTATTCCAAGCAGATTTTTGATCTCATCCTTAAGCTGTAGCCACAAATCACATCTTTCTCTAGCTGGAAAACTATGTTGTCATTAGATAGGTATGAATGGGTTCATGGAAACGTCTGTAAACTTGCCACATGTGATGGCTCTCAGGTTTCTTGAAGCATTTTTCAAAAGCGGATTAGTTTGTTTCAGTTGAAGAGTATCTTTTTTTAATGGCCTTCTATAACTCAAGAGTGTTTTCTCTCTTCTCTTTTGTGACCTTCCCATCTCCCTACCCAACCTGCAACAAACAGGCATGTTAAAATGCCATTTTTAGGATAATGTGTTTCATTTCTTTCCAAAATCCCTATTGGCTTGTTGCAGCTAAAACAAAGAGTCCTGTGGGCACCTTCAGCACTAAGAAGTTTGCTATAACACAAGTTCCATTGACTGTAGCTCACCTTACCAGAGGCACACGATGTGTAATCCAGACTTTCAGGTGCTGTTTTGGAAGACCTGTTAAATGTCTTGATTGGGGTTAAGGACCAACCAGCAAGTCTTCAAAGACAGTCTTCAAAAACAGCATCAAATAAGTCTTGGATACCACATGCGGTATTCATCTGCTCTGGCAGAGATGTTTAGAGGCAATCATGTAAATTAATAAAGTAACGAAACAACACATCTCATAGGATCCAGTTTTTCACAATTCTTGGTATTTTTCCAAAGTACAGTTTATGTTGAATAAGGTCTTTATTTTACATTTCTATCAGCAGCCACAACAATAATGATGAGCTATTCAAAATGCAGAACAATCCTAATCCTCTGGTAGAGAGGAGATCTTAAATAAGGAAGACATGGTGATTGATCTTACCCATAAAATTTGTTTTGCTTCCATAAGTAAATATAACATTTTCTTTGTCATGCCAAGTAAGACCAAATGGGGAAAAATTTCTAAGCCTACAAGATGCTTGTTTTGTTGACATCTTCTGTGTTGGACCTCTACCCTTCCTTCAAGGTAACATTAAGCAGGGGAACAGCCATCTCTGATATAAGGCCTAGTTAATTATAGAGTGATCATATGAAGGCAATGAATCCACAAGAAGCCCTCGAGCTGGGAGGCAAACAATTGAGAATGTCTCCTTTTCTCTTAGTCTGGAGGTAAGGCTGGCCCAAAGCATTTTGATGCCTGAAGAAGAGCATCAGATGGCATTCCTCATCCCATTTGGAAGAGCTGCTTCTTTGAAGGACTGCTAATTACTTCAGAGAGGCCATTTGCCAAGTCATCAGCCAAAAATCAAAGTGCCACGACACTTCACCCTCTCACGGTAGTACCTGAAGAATGCCGTGCAAGTTCTTAACGTCACAGTGTCCCTTTAGTGCTGTTTGGGAGGCACGCTCTATTACATAGAGCATGCAGGACCTGGCACACTGGAATGTCTGAGCGGCCCTGATCTCATCAATGAGTGCTCGGCATACTGCCCGAGAAAGCAAATCAGGATCAGCAAACATGAACACCCTGGGGAAATGAAGAGTGAACCTATATTAAGTAAGAATTGATTATTAGCAATGAAAAATGTAGATACAGGAGTTAATCTAGGAGAAATCAATGGAAATAGTGCTTCACCCACCCACCAATACTAAAGCAAAATGAGAACTCGAAAGAAAGAAAGAAAGAAAGAAACCAACTGACCAACCAACCAACCAACCCATTGTGCCCCTCTTACAAAAGAACTCTTATTTGACTCACTGAAATTAGAGCACAGGCAGCTCCATTAATCAGGTCTGCATGGCAGTCAGACTGGTGGTTTAACTGGTGCAGTCAACAAAGATCATTGCTAATTATCATCATACACATGGGCATATATCTTCAAAAATATTTGTGCATTATTTTGGAAATCTACCCAGGTTAGGGTTCCGAAAAATCCACATGCGTGTATATATAGATAATAATAGCTACATCCTATCTCTGCTACAGGAAACATTGATGCACAACACCAATGTTTCTTACAGCAATGGCCATCCTACCATTAGACAGAATGAGGCAGCCACCTCAGGCAGCAAGTTTTGAATGCCAGGGAAAGACAGAAGATTGTTTCTTATTATGGCTCAGGTTTTTTTAAAGCCAGGGAAGGGAAGAAGTGCTTGTGGTATTTATTGCCGAATGTGTCAAGACAACTTGGCTAGTTCAGTGTAGTAGTTAAATACACCTTGACTTGGAGGGTTCATTTGCTGTTTCCCTCACTTTAGCAGTATGTGTGGGAGTGGTCATGTCTCCTGCTACCATCAGGATTTGCGGAGCTGAAATGAAATGGCTGCAACTATTCCAAGCTAAGACCAGCAATTTCCGTTATGTAAGCCTGTTGCACAGCTCTTCACATTCAAAGCGTTAGAAGTGAAATTCACTAAGGGGTGGTAGCAAAAGGCCTATATTCAGACAAATCCTTGGAGATATTTCTTTGCTCCCCAGATGTGCTGAAAAGCAATATCAAGACTTTCGGTTCAAACATTTCAGAAATGTTGGGGTCTTACACTGTTTTTATTTGTACAGTTTCTGACCTCATGAACCAGTGACATGTCATGCCAATATAGCAGATTTCATCTGTTATATGAAATATTTTAGAGTAAAATTAAACTGGCACAAGTAAACGTTATTTGAGAAGCTCAACACTTACTTTTCCTGAAAAGGGTAGGAATCATTCTTGATACTTTGCTCTGCAGCAACCATTCTTTGGTATAATATTCCTAATAAGCAAAATAAACATATGCACATACAGAGGCTAAAGTGCATGGTTTGACTCTGGTATCATTTGCTGAACATCTGATAATGTTATCATACAACTAGATCAAAAAGGGAATTGAATGCAAAACAGAGGATAAATGATGCTTTATAATATGAATAGAGAAAAGTAATCTCCCAAGCAGTTTTATCAAAAGTGATGACAGTACAAAGGACATGATTCATGGCAGGTTTTATAGGTCACAGAGATGTCTTCAGGATCATAGCCATAAAATGCCAGATCTAGAGAGACATGGATCCTGTGAACTATCATAGATCCTCTTTGTGCCAACACCGATACCTCAAGCTGTGCTGGCATGAAAAGTTGCCATCTGATTTTGAGGGTTCCACCTGTTGTCATCTCCATAATTATGTAAAAATATTTCTTGAGAACTGCCACATGGCTAAATCAGGCTTAAGGGCAACTTCATGAACTCCGTCCTTCAACTCCCTCCGTAGAAATCTACCATTTCAGACAGTCCCAAGGATCAACTGCAGACACTATTTCTTCTCTTTGTACGGTTTCTAGCAAGCTGGCTGGATAGATCACTGAGCTGGAACACTGCCAGGGATTAGGATTTCAGTTCCCCAAGGTGCCTCCCATAAGAAGGCCAACCTATATGCCCATGGGCAAACTGCAGTCCATGCAGGTGGGGGCCTCTGAAGAAAAGACTGGTCAATCATGTTTGAGTGCTTAACTCCTAGAAAACCCTGCAAAGGGTTGCTGCAACTTGGAATTGACTTGACAGCATGCTATTATTTCGTTTCCAGCTGCATACATGCAGCACTATGTCACAGGCAAATGTCTACAAGTGGTCTGGGTGAACTTACACACACACTGGCTGAAATCTGTTGCTTAGCCCAGGAAAATTAATAAAGTTCAGTCTGTTCCTAACTAGCAAAGTCCTTGCTGTGAAAGTTATAATTTTTTTGAAAGTTACAAACTTTCTAACACTCTCTCAACTGAATTTCAGCTGTAGTGGCTCCACAAAGGGGAAGAAGGGTCAAGCATCTATTTTACCATAGTTCATGGGGTCTCCTTGAGGCAAGTCTCAGAGGTGACCACATAAATCAAAGCTGTGATATGTCATAAACCGTTACTTGCTTTTATCAATTAATAAATGAATTGCATTTATCCAATAAGTCAGTTGGGCTTTGTTGGGTTTTGACATTGGTAAAAAAAAAAAAACGGGAAGAATCTGATATGTGGATGTACCTTATTATGAACTACTTTGGCTTTTTGTCCACTTAATTGGTCCTTGCCTTTATTGATAAAGGCAATTTTTAAAAAAGATTGAGTAAAGCAGCAAGGGTAGATGGAAGGTGATGCAAGTGCTGTTCTGGCATGAATCTGCAGGATCAGAATGTTCTCAGAGCCACCCTGTTCTTTAAGTGTATGTCTTTTGTACTCAGTTTTGAATAGTAGATCTTGGGGTGCAAGTGAAACAACGATGACAAGGAAGTAGTTCTAAGGAGCCTGGAGCCTGTCCAACCGTGGGCTTTCTAAGAATTTGACTTATAAAAAGCACTTCGATCAACATTTGACATTTGGGATGTGATCCACAAGTGAGACAGAAACTCTTCAATTTCCCGTTGTCACTCCAGGATCAGTATCTTGCATTTGTTTGATCAAGATGGGAACCGACATTTGTCTCTATGTGTCTGCAGGCACAGATTCTAGGTCTTACAAGGTGCAACACCCAGACACTCCCTCCCAGGCTTCCCAAGCATGGAGAAAATAAACAGAGCAAACCACAAGGGGCTGTGGAATGCTGCACACCTGGAATTGTCCGTTCCCGCTTTACTTGCTGGGCATAATCCAGGCCAATAGTGCAGTATGGTTTGGGCAGAGTGAGCAGCTTCTTGCAGAAATCATACACTCTCTCATAGAGGTCATCAGGAATGGACGGGGTCTATAACAGAAAGGGAGAGAAAGAATCAGGGTTGGAACAATTTAATAGGGAATTGCAAGTCCAGAGAAAAATTTTAGAACAGAACTACAGTGTGGAGGATCAGTAACCAGCTTTACTCCTGGTATCAATAGAAGTAATGCTCTTGGAATGTACTGCAATCAGGGTCTGACTTAGATTCTGTTGAACAGCACATTAAATTGTACCAGATAATCCATTAAACCGCAAATGTGAACAGGACATTTTATTAGGCCTGTTCACACCACTTGTTCAAAGACTGTCCACCTAAATGAAATAAATTATTTGATCAAGATCCATGGATTGTCTTATTTACATAGCTGTAGCTCCAGATAGTTTTTGAGTGGGTGTGCATGGCCTGAATCATATGAAAACTAGACAAATGAGAGTGCATCTGAACATCTACAGATTTCCAAGCAGACTGGAGCTATATATCTTTTTCAATAAATCACCACCAGGCTCATGTAGGAGATGTTAATTCCTTATTTCTAAACAGCAACAGCAGCAATGACAATAACAACAACAATGACTACAGCAACAGCAACAGCAGCAGCAACAACAACAACAACAACAATAATAATAATAATGGTGGTGGTGGTGGTGGTGATGATGATGGTGATGATGACTGTGCAGCTGGCCCAAGGCCACACAGGCTGGCTGTACTTTTAGGTAACATGGTGGGAAATCAAACTCTGAATCTCTGGCTTTGCAGCCACATAATTAAACCACTCTGCTATCTAGCCTGTTCATTTCTACTTTACACCATGACATTTATTTATTGGCATGTTTTCCTTTTCCTTTCCCTTCCTTTCCTAACTATTACAGATAGTTAAGGATTAATACAGAAGCTGTGCCTTATAAACTATGAATGGCGTAGAAGAGGAAAGCATTACCATATCTAAATACATCTCATTCAGTTATCTTCGTTTGTACATACAGTCTCATTATGACAGTACACAATGGCTGAAATCCTGTTCAGCCTAGCAAGTCACAATCAGAGTAGGCCCACTGAATCAGTGGGGATTTGCTGAGTCAACTCTGGACAGCTCAGTGGTTTGACTGCAGAACCAGAGGTTAGGAGTTTGATTCTCCACTGTGCCTCCTTAACAGGGCTGGATTCGATGATCCATGCGGTCTTTTCCAGCTCTGCAGTTCTAAAATTATTATTATAATTCTTCCATATGTTCTGCTGATTCAGTGGGCTACTCTAGTCATGATAAAACTAAGCAATAAGATTTCAGCCACTGTATAGCTGCGGGCTAAACCGCAGAAGCCTGTGCTGAAGGGTCAGAAGACCAAGCAGTCGTAAGATCAAATCCACGCAACGGAGTGAGCTCCCGTCGCTTGTCCCAGCTCCCACCAACCTAGCAGTTCGAAAGCATGCAAATGCAAGTAGATCAATAGGGACCACCTCGGTGGGAAGGTAACAGCGTTCCGTATCTAAGTCGCACTGGCCATGTGACCACGGAAGACTGTCTTCGGACAAAAACACTGGCTCTATGGCTTGGAAACGGGGATGAGCACCGCCCCCTAGAGCGGAACACGACTGGACAAAAATTGTCAAGGGGAACCTTTACCTTTTTATAGCTGTTCTAGAATAGAGGTATGCAGGGCTCAGGCCTGAGTTTAACTTGAAGACAAGTTAATTGCTTCCCAATTGCTAGAGTATCAGCGACTGAGGTGGTTTTTCCATGGTGAAAAAGGCATGCTATATATGCTTCATAGCAGTCTTTATTTTACCATGGCACATTTCTAATGTTTCAGATAAACTGCAAGGCTAACCAACTCAACTCAAAATTTGAGTTCTAATGACTGGTCACAGTGCTATTCGGTATATCAATAGTGTTCCTGAATTCCCATGGATGTTACATTCCATGAAACATTTATTTTTTTACCTTTATCAGTGTGTACATCAGCGTGTGAAGCAAGGGGATGATGTACTGCCGGTAGTTACATCTTTCTGCCTAGAGAAAACAAATTGTTGTGTTTAAAATTAAACAAAAGGAGGCAGAAGTTGGATGTTTTGCCAATCCAAAAAGCACATGGTAGGAAGGGAAGGGCTGAAAGCCAAAGTTTTGTAGATAGGAAGAGAAATGGTGCATTTGAGTGGGAAATGCACTACAAGGGAACACAACACTAGGCTAAGCAAAATATCACTGAAGTACTGGCAAGATCTCTGCTGGTTTATGTGATTAACGCAATCCTGAGCTTGTATTTAGGAGAAATACAATGGAATAATCAGACATACCACGAGCTTCCCAATATCAAAGAATAAAACAAAACAAAAACATGTCCTCTGACCCTAACTGTGTGACAGATTAGGTTCTCTTTGAAAGCGGGGTCACTGAATAGACAAGGAGAAGGATCATAGGCAGCAAGATAGTACAGGATAAGGGTTAAGGACCATTTTAAAATACTAAGGAACACCAGGGCAGCTGGTCACCAGTGAACACGGCAGAGATTATGAATGACGTGAAGCAACAAAGCAGAAGTTGCCCCAAACTGCAACCTTACTAGGGCTTTGATTTTACCCACGGTTTATGCCAAAATGTATAACGTTTTGTAGCAGACAGAAATTTGGAAAGCAACACACACTTTCTTTTATATACCCTTGAGAAGATAAACAGGTTTTGCTGCAAATATCAAGAAAAGGAACAGCACCAGAAAATGAATATAGTTACTGTATATTTATTTTTTGTTTGGAAACACTTGTAACACAGTCTGAGCAAATAAATGATTGATCCAAAATACATTATTTTGTAAACCTCTGCATCCTCTGATGCTCAGCTACTCAGAACTAGTCAAAATTCAGTGAAAGGAAGCTAGGGTGCTTGTTAAGGATATCAGAGACAGCACCAAAGGACCCTATGCTGGAAGTTACAGATGGAGCAGGTGGAAAGAACATTGCACAGCATACAAGTCGAGATAATATAGAAAAGTCAAGGTGAGATGTTGACTTTTCTGTATAGCCAAGTGATAAAAAGCTAGTATGATGCCCTTTTGAAACTGAACAGTGCAAGGAATAAGCAAGAAACCATGGTTTCATACTCAGGAGAATCATGCCAGGACTACCCTCTAAATCTTCTTTCCCTTCCATGAACCGTTCTTACCCTTTCCAGTTCTTTCACCAGGATTTTGATCAAGAGGACTCCATTGCTAGGGTTCCTCTCAATTTTCTTGTGCAAGGTCCACCGCAACATTCCTGTGAAACACAAGCCAAAGCAGTAAGTCAAAGTGTCATCCATCAGGTAATGAATCAAAAAGAGGGAGAGTTGGAACCCTTCAGTTCTGATGGAGGAGGGAGAAACTGGGCCCACATTCTAAAGGGATGAAGCTCTTCACCTGGGATGGACAGTGGTATTTCACTATATCTCACAAAGCTGATCTAAGGGGTCACCTATGCAAAGAAACTTTATTTCATCAAGTACAGGTTGAATACATTAGCTTCTGTTACATTACTGTAGGTCTTCTCATATTGGGGCTTATTTCCATGCAGCATTGCAAATTGCTTCCAAAGTATGTCAAAGAAGCAGTGCAACAGTATGGTAGGAGAAGCCAAACAAAACATTGGTGTTATGCTCATCTACCTGCAACATTAAAAGCTTACGAAACATTTCTAACACCGCTGTTAAACACATTTTGGCACATTTTGAAACATTTTTAACTGGCTGAAATCCTGTTGGCAGAACTATATCTGCAGAAGGGTAATGACAGCATCAGCAGAGAGGAGATTTTTGGTAATTAAAAATGTCTTGCTTCTCTCACACAGCTTTTCTATGGAAATAATCTGCTTCATCATGTGGAAGCCATGGAACAGGAGGAGGAGATCTTTCATTACCAAAAATCAACACCACCACGTGGCATTGATTGCAGGGGGAGATTTTCAGTAATGAAAAAGTTCCTCCTTCTGCCCTGGTGCTGTCATGGCTTTCACAAATGAAACCAATTATTCTGAAGCTGAAAAAGGAAGAGGTAAGATAACCAAAAATCTCCTCCTTTTGGTGACATAATCCTTCTCCTAGTGTAGTTATGCCACCAGAATTTTGACCACTGTTTCAAATTAGTGGTCTTTTATTATAATATGTTTAACTGTTGCTGATTTTTTTAAATTAATAACTTGCACATATTTTTAAATAAATATTTTTGTAAACTGCCTTCATCCCTGGCCTTAGGAGAAACATGGAAGATAAATGAAATATATAACTAAGTAATGAAGTTGCACCCTTGTGCTTATTCATATGTGGGTAGATATCCCAACCAAAAGAATACCAGAAAGCAAACATGCTGGATATGATGCCAGCACAACTTATCCATCTAGGACACTCAAGCATGCTGGCATTCTTGGGGCATTTACTATGGTTATGTAGTTCTAGGACACTCAGGAAAATTTCTCAGGAAACAAGTCATCAGTTGCAGCACTGTGGCCACCACTGTCTTACCTCTCTCACTCTGGAAAGCTGGATGGTGGCCATCAAGTTCCCGGAGAAGGGCATGCACACTCCGCAGAAAGTCTGACTCAACCTCTTGAAACACAAGAGAAACGCCATGTGAGGAACTAAGGTAATCCAGAGAAGAAAGGCTGCCTTCTTTTAACCAAAAGAAAAATTAAATAAAAATTAATATTAAGATGTTATGGAATCATAGGATCATAGAACAATGGAGTTGGAAGGGGCCTGTAAGGCCATTGAGTCCACCCCACCCCTGCTCTGTGCAGCAATCAAAATCAAAGTATATCTGACAGATGGCTGTCTGACTTTCTCTTGAATGCCTCCAGTGATGGAGAGTTCACTACCTCCTGAGGTAATTGGTTCCATTGCCACACTACTCTGTTATGAAGCTTTTTCCTGATGTTCAGCCGCTGGCTTCCTGTAACTTGAGCCCATTAAGTGTCCTGCACTCTGGGGTGATCGAGAACACTTCTTGCCTTTCCTCTGTTTGACAATCTTTCAAGTATCTGAAGAGTGCTATCCTATCTCCCCTCAGTCTTCTTTTCTCAAGGCTAAACATGGCCACTCCTTTCAGTGTTTCCTCACAGGGCTTGGTGTCTAGTCCCCTGATCATCCTTGTTGCCCTCTTCTGAACTCTTTCCAATTTGTCAGCGTCCTTCTTAAAGTGCAGTGTTCAGAACTGGACATAATACTCAAGATGAAGCTTAACCAGAGCTGAACTTGTACTTCATGGGGATTGGAGGCTATACTTCTGTTGATGCATCCTAAAATAGCACTGACCTTTTTTGCAGCAACATTGCACTGTTTGCTCATATTTAGCTTTTGATCTACAATTCAAAGATCCTTCTCACGTACATTATCACTGAGCCAAATATCCCCCATCTTCTAACTCTGTTTTTTCCCCTTTTGACATAGAACTTTGCACTTATCCCTGCTAAATTTAATTCTATTGCTTTCAGCCCAGTGCTCAAGCCTATCCAGATCTTTTTGAATGTCTTCCAGGGTACTGGCTATTCCAACCCAATTTAGTGTCATCTGCAGATTTGATAAGCATTCCCTGCACCCCCTCATCCAAGTCATTAAAAAAATGTTGAAGAGCACAGGGCCCAAGACTCAGCTTTATGGTATCCCACTTGCTACCTCCTTCCAGGTTGAGAAGTAGCCATATAAGACATACCTCTCATAACTTCTCTAGAAACACAGCTGATAAAGTGGAAAAGATATCACTAAAGGTATCTTCTTCCTGGGGATAGGACTGTCAATCCTGACCATAGTAGTTATATTGCACATTAATACAGTGGTACCTCGGTTTACGAATGCCTCAGTTAACATATTTTTTGGTTTACGAAGCAAAATCCATTGAAAATAATGCCTCGGTTTATGGGGGTTTTTTTTCAGACTACGAAGAAAGTTTCCCCAGAATGCATTGTGCCTGGAGGTTTGTAGTGCTGCCCCTGTTCCTACGGCAATCCGCGTTTTGGTTTATGAATTTTTCACATTATGTAACATCCCATAGAACGCGAGGTACACCTGTACTATCTAATCAAGCCTCTGGCTGCTTATGAAGACTGGGCCAACTCATGTGCCAATGAAGCTTCCAAAAGGATTGTCACGAAGATATTCCATCTGATGAAATGGTATCCACTCCACAAAGGTTTATGCTATAATAAATCTGTTCCTCTTTAAAGTATTATGACACTCTTCTCTTGCACATTTGCTTTATCTAACTACGGATGTGACTAGACCACCAAGTTATCCTGGATTGGATCAATCTAGATTGTGCTAAACAGGATTGCTTTGAGGTACAATACATCATTTAGGGTGATCCTTGCATCCACATGGATGCAGAGGGGAAAGGAGATAAATCTTTCCATTTCTTTTCAATTGTTGATAACTGATAAGCCATTTCAAAGCATCGCTGATGCATTAGCAACAATTAGAAAGAAATGAAAATCTTCCTTTCCCTTTCCTTCTACAGGCAAGCAGCATGGAAACTTTTCATTTCTAAGATCACTAAGCAGCTTCAGCAAAGGACAGCCACCCAGCCATTTTGATTTGACCTCAGCAATCACATATGCTGAAACTAAACCGAAACAGAGCAATCCTATCCTAACCTAAAAAAACAGTTGCTTCTGACAAGGACCCCAAAAGGTGTAGGTACACACTGATCAGGCATGGGCTGGTTCACAATAGCACATATGTCACACAGTCACCAGGAAAAGGAGAGAACCAGGCCCTCCCCAACCCAGACCAAAAATGCATACCTGATTGCACTCTAATACAGTTTAAACCCCCCCCCCTTTAAATGTTATTATCTCTGTTTCTCAACTGTATAATGGTTAGAGGAACTGGAGCTACTCCATTCTTCAGATCTAGCTATTTCATGCGTTATAAGAAACACAAACCTGGGTTCTCCATGACAGGTCAGAGGTCACAGCAGCAGGTTGTGGGCTTATTCATATCAACACTTTTGACAGAACAGAGTGACCAGAGAGCTCAGTTTCACTCAGCATGGTCCTATACCCTCTGTTGCTTCTAAAAACAAGACGGTAGCTTGATGAGCTTGAAGTCCATGTTAGATTCCTTGGACCTGTTCTGAAGCACATGAACATATAGGAAGTGAATGGTTTTGGTCTTGACAGTATTGTTCAGTGGCCAGTGTGCATCTGTGCAATAAACAGGCTATAGGAAGTTGGTTTTCAGTGGCTTCCAATGTTTGGTCCCCAGATATTATTGGATTAAAATGCCCAGAAGCCTTTACCACTAGCTGTGCTGGCCAGGATTTCTGAGAGTGGCAGTCCAAGAACCTCTGGAGACCCAAAGTTGGGAACCACTGCACAAGACCATGTTCTCAAAAAAGAGGATGCATGATATAGTGTAAGTATTACATTTCACCGAGACCGGTCCTGGCAGAGGGCAGCAGGGGTCATCTCAGGCTGCTTATGCAGGGAGGCAGTAACAACCTGTTGGTGGATACAACCTTCCACTCCCTAAGACAGCCTGCTTTCTTGACGTGTGTGGAAACATGCTATCCCTTCACCAGTGTTGAAGAAAGATTCAGCTGCCTGTTAAATCAGCATTTGTATATAAAATGGGAAGGGGGTCCAACATTTTCTTTGCCTCAGGCAGTAAAATATATTGAGCCATAAGCTAAGTTTCACAATAGCATCAAGCTTTGAGCAGCCAGTCATCATTACCACAAACTACTGGCTTCAGGATGTTGGCAGGGATTGATGTCAAGAACAATGGCTAGATGGCTACTTGTAGACAGTTTAATCTCGTATTCATATATTAATGCATTAAATATATATCCCCTATTTCTGCATATGTGACACTTACAGCGCCATTGGAAATCACTTTGGACTAAACTCAGCTGCTAATCTTACCTAGAATAGATCCACTGAATCAACTGCTGAATGGTAAGTCAACATTTGGATAAACCCCACTGATTCGATCGGTCTACTCTGGTTAGCAGTAACAATTTAGTTTAGGCTCTGGTCCATCATAGACATGGCACGACAAGGCTGTGGATAAAAAAAATCAGTGACCCAGCTAGGAATAAGAAAGTTTCCACTTACTAGGTGATACTGTGAGGAAAATGAAGCATCATAGGCAGCTGGCAGCAGTCTATAACCACACCCGGGTTGCGACCAGATTTCTTCTGAACTTGCCAATCTCCATTATGAGGGAGCCACACCTGAGAAGACAAACTCGCTTTACCTGCTTCACCATCATCAAGCCGATACCTGCACACTCACATAAGTGTGGCCAGCATTGCAAAATGCCTTTATTGTTCACTAACTGCACAGCACCACAAGATGCTTGCTTGCCTTCCCAGAGCACATAGGATGAGCTGCACTCCAAGGATTCCTGCCGTTGACCCCTGGCACTGACTTCAAAACGAATCTGATAAGTTAGAAACAGAGACGTGGCTTGAGAACAAGAGCTGCAGCCTTCACCGTCTTTCAAATGTGGGTGGATTCACCTCAGTGGTTATTCCAACACAAGATCACCCCTTCCCCCTTTTTCACACAGGTGCACACATGAAAGGTACATTCCACTAACAGCCAAAGCAGTAAGCACTTTCAGAGGGGTAGCCATGTTAGGCTGAGGCAGCAGTTACAGTAGAGTGTCCTCAACATATTAAAGGCCACAAGATTTACAATGTCCAAGCCTTTTGCAGATTTGTGGCAATATCTCAGAGGTTGGAAAAGTTATTTGTGGACCACAGCATGACAATGGTCCAGCTGGCTGGAGAATTCAGGAAGTCATGTGTGTCACATACTATCAAGTTGCTTTCTGAGGTGCTTCAAGGAGTAGTTTACCATTACCACCAGTTTAGCTGAGTTTCCAGAGCTAAGCAGCGATTTCAACTCAGGTTTTCTGAATCTTATCCATTACACCACATTAGCTCTCTGGATATTACAGTCTGAAAAAATAACATCTCCGAACTCCAACACTGCATCGAATGCCTGACAGCACAGGACACTAAGGTAAATACAACACTAAGCGCACTACCTCCCCAAATGCTTTTCATTTTGAAATATCCTAGCACCAGTTTCTGTAAAAGATTCTTTGGGATGTATGTCTGCAATGAGCTACAAGATGAAAAACCCAGAACTTTGGTGCTTTGGACATGGATGAACCTTTGGCCTCCCCGGTTAATTTACTGCTTCTTAAAATGTCAAATTGTGCCATGAAGACAAGGCTAGTCCTACTGTTAGGAAATGAAGCAGTTGCCCCAGGCAGCAGAATTTGGGGGGCAGTGTGCAGAATAGTGGCATGGTTTTGGAGGACAAAGCTTTGTATGTTATGCCACATGCCCAGTGGCTCCCCAAATTAGCCTACTGCTCTCAGATAGAATGGAGGACACTGCCCTGTCATACTGCTGAAGTTGACAGAAGTACTGGTTGTTGTGGGTTTTTCAGGCTCTTTGACCATGTTCTGAAGGTTGCAAAGGTTCTGAAGCTTTCATGAATACATTGACAGAAGTACCTTGAAACAAGGCACTTCTGTCAACTCACAGTCCAGATAATTCTATAGGCAGAATGAGGAAAACCACTGTGTCTTCCTTTTTTTCAGTAGAAAAATATCTCAGGTCAGCCTAGTATGATCCGGTGGAGGGAGATGCATCCTACTAGATGGTCTTGGCTTGTGCTGCTGAGTAGCAAACAAATGAAACATGAAAAAAATCTGGGTTACTGACTTCAGGGGGAATAATTATCCAAGATTTCCTTCAGCTCTCATACTGACCTATATTTTTCCCTCCAAGTCAGCTTGTGGTGGTTGGGAGAGAAGGTTGTATCACAGGTCTACTCATTAAGTTATATTTCTTGACCAGATTTGATGCAAGGCAATACAAGAGATTTCCTAAGTGCTTCACTATATAATTAGACCTGTTAAATCCCATCTGAAGTTAATCAGACAATCACCAATATACTTTTCAACACAAAATCAAACAGAAGAGAATAGTCCAGGATACTAACCAATAATGCAGGATTTCAATGGAATAAAATTATTATTGGATTAATAAGGCACAATTAAAAAAAAAACAAGACTAATCACGACCTGGGGTTCAATTCCAGGTAGCCGGCTCAAGGTTGACTCAGCCTTCAATCCTTCCGAGGTCGGTAAAATGAGTACCCAGCTTGCGGGGGGGGGGGGCAATGGGTAGCCTGCATAGTTAACTTGTAAACCGCCCAGAGAGTGTTTGAAGCACGATGGGGCGGTATATAAGCAGGGCGGTTTGCTTTTGCATTGGAAGCACTTGCTATCTTAGCTTAGCTTGAAAAGTTCAGGGATGGTGAAAATTACTGTTTGGACTACAACTCCCAGAACCCCTTGACCAAAATGGCCACCCCATACTAGCTGGAAGATTCCAGGAGTTGCAGTCCAAAAAAAAAAAAGGCCATGTTCCCAATCTCTGCGAAAGTTACTTTTAAGAAGAATGGATATAATGACATTCTTAAGGCGCATATAGCTGAGGAGGGGCAAGACAATGCTTTGCAGTGCAGATTGTCATCCTAACACTACTCAGTTATGGATGGCTCCAACACATTTGTGTCTAAAGTAACTTTCCAAGCTCTGCATTTTGGGGGCTGAATGTTTCATTTCCTTCAAATGCTCGACCTCATTCATTAGCAGAGAGTCACACCGCCTTTCAAAGAAACAGGCCTGAGGGGCCTCCACCGCTTTACCGTTTCCTTTCCACTGCTCTATTTTTAAGACCCCAGGAGTGACTGCAGACAGTGCGGCTTCCTCTTCACACCTTCCGTGCTGTGACCACAATAACCTGCAGCCCACAAAGCTCTCATGTTACTCAGCAACGCTATGATTAAAAAAAACAACAACAACTGGCTAAACCTGTCTCAGATTTTGTATTTGTCCCCAAGTCTTGGAAAAATCATCTCTGGAGACGAAAACACCCCGAATCATTCATCCACCACAGCCAATGCCATGGGGACTGCAGGTTAAAGGGTGTGTGTGTGTCTGTTTATGGCTTCCATGCCTAAAGCAAACTTTCTTTAACACTGTGGACCTGTGAATTGGTACAAAAACTCTGGCAGGCCCCAGCTCACCCAAGTATCCTCACTTCACTTTTCCCTGAGGCGACATAAAAAGAAAAACAAACTGCTCACGACCACAGTGACAGAAGGATCTAGCTAAGCACTTTTTCCTTCTGGCAGATGATTACTTTGCACCAGTGGACTTCCTCTCTGGCCAGAGAGAGAGACAGAAAGTCCATGACAGTCAACCAGTCTCCTCCTTGAAGAAGAGGAAGAATACGTTCTAATGTCACCATGTGAAAACACCTCTCGAGGATAAAGTAGTTCAGGTCTCAAAGATCAAGGATGGGCCGGAGACCTCCATCTCTTTTGGGGACAGGGAAAGAGCAGGAAGATGCTTGGGCTTGATGTAATGCCCAGTATTGGGATCCCAACAGCGGTATGAGCAATGTCAACCTTCAGAACACGGCCAAAACCCCGAAAAACCCACAACAACCAATGTCAATGCTGTTTGGGTGGAGGCTCATAATAAACTGGAGGCGCGTAGACAATAACTCTTTTAGACTGATGATGTTGAGCCTGAAAGCCCTGCAATACCAACAGTCCCAAATGAGTCAGAGGCTGTACATGACTGGTATCGGAACGGCCGGTGTCTTGTACATGGTGGAGCCTTGCCTTCCATTTAAATGAGAGCAGTGGGTCAGGAAGGACAGGTGCTGATACTGAGTCAGACTCACATACAGACACTGAGCAACACAAAGATTTGGGGCTCGAACAGGCCGAATGCAGTAAGGTGGTTACCTCAGCTGAGGTATCCACCCACGAAAGTGATTGGGCCAGTAGAGGAGAGGGTGGTTGGCTAGATGGATATGGAATGGGGTCACGGTCAGAATCTAGTTGTATGGTGAGTTGATCTTGTGATGCAGGCTGTGGAACTAGAGGCTGAGACTCGATGGAAGATTTCCTTGATTTTTTTTGGTTTGGAAGAGACCTGTTTCGGAACAGCTTTTGGTGTCAGGAGTGGATTGGGATGTCGATCCTGAGGACTTTGATTTCGGTAATTTCGATTTAGTTTTGGTGGTTGTCGGTAATGGAGAGTTAACGGTAGAAGGTGCCAGGGGTCCACAGTAGCGGGTGGACGTAGGGATTGTTCCCACAAAAAAGACTTACGTCGCTGCTGATGAAGTTTGACGGCTTGTTGAGTGAATTTTTTACAGAAGGAACAAGTAATCAGTCAGTGAGATTCCCCCAAGCAAAACAAACAAGAATCATGGCTGTCTGTGAGAGACATTTTGTTAGGGCAAGAAATGCACCTCTTAAACTATTCTGTGGGGGGCCATAAAGGGTGGGAAAGGGGGAAAGGGGTGGGGGCAGTAGGAAAAAATAGGATGAAGTCTCTTACAAATCTGATGTATTAAAGTCTATTCTTTTATAGAATCAATTTGTTTTGTTGTTTATTTCTCTAGAGAAAAGAACCAAGAAGCGTGAACGGAGAGCTTGTCAAGAGATGAGACCTCAGCAGCAGCAAAAAGGAACTGAGCCAATCGCCAGGATGGGCCGACCACGTGTATTGGGGGGGGCGAGCCTGGTGAATGCGTGATTGAATATTCCAGAGATCTCTGCGCAGGTGCAGATTAACCCATTAGTGTGCATTCACAGAGACCACGAAGAAGAACTTTGGGTTGCAAATCCAATTTTTGGTCCCAGGTCAGCTCCCCACCTAATCCACCATTCACAGACCAGGTGCTTCTTGAGACATGGCCACACTGTCAATGTCACGTGCAATGACCACTAACTCTGACATCACAAAATTCCTGCTTATAGCAGTGGCTGGAGATTCTCCCTGGCATGATGCCTCCTTCCCCCATGCCTCCTCATTTTTCCTATGCATTATTCCCCATATAGAAGAAGGTGAACAAAGGACCTCAGATCCTGTGGCTTCTCCCATTGGAGTTGCATGTGGTAGGCTAAACGGACTTGTTAAGACCCAAACTGCAGAAACTATTTTGTAGTGAGTGCTGAGATCTTGGAAATTTTGCACACCTTAGTTTTTTCCCCTGTTATCTGTGATCTGAGATCAGAGACAACAGTGGGGATTTCCTGTACAGTGCTGATCTTCCAAACTGAGAGACTAAATCATGTGAGAGGGGGAAACTCTGCTGTTCTCTAAAGCTTTAGTCGAATGTCACTA